CATAATTTCAAGAATTATAAAGCAAACAAAAAGAAAACCCCAGAGCAAGTAGAAGGAAGGAAGTACTAAAGATCAGAGCAGAAATAAATGACGTAGAGGACAAAAAAACAATTCAAAGTATCAATGAAACAAAGAAGTGGTTTTTCCAAAAGGTAAATGAGATTGATGCACCCTTAGATAGTCTCACTAAGAAACAAAGAGAGAGGCCCTCGCCGGTTTGGCTCAGTGGTTAGAGCGTCGACCTGCGGTCTTGAGAGACCCGGGTTCGTTTCCCGCTAAGGGCGGGTACCTCGGTTGCAGTTTGTCCCTGGCTCTGGTCGGTCGTGCGGGTGGCAGCCACTCAATGTGTTCCTTTCACATCAATGTCTCTCTCTCTCTCTCTGTTTCTCTCTCTCCCTCCCACTCTACCTGAACAAAAAAATGGGAAAATGTCCTTGGGTTAGGATAAAAAAAAAAAAAAAAAAGAAACAAAGAGAGAGAACCTAAATAGACAAAATCAGAAATGAAAGAGGACAAGTAACAACTGACATCACAGAAATACAAAAGATCATTAACAACTATATGAACAATTACATGGCAACAAATTGGACAATCTAAGTGAAATGGACAAATTTCTAGAAACTCATAGTCTCCCAAAACTGGACCAAGAAGAGATAGAAAACTTGAACAGACTAAAAACAACTAAGGAAATTGAAGAGGTAATGAAGACTCTCCCAGCAAACAAAAGTTTAGTCCCAGATGGCTTCACAGGGGAGTTTTAATGAACTTTCAAAAAAGAACTAATACCCATTCTCTTCAAACTATTTCAAAAAATTCAAGAAGAAGGAAGACTTCCAAACTCGTTTTATGAGACCAGCATAATTTTAATTCCAAAACCGGAAAAAGACACCACAAAAAAAGAAAACTACAGGCCAATATCCCTGATACACATAGATGCCAAAATCCTGCACAAAATTGTAGCAAAGTGGATCCAGCAATACATCAAAAAATTATTCACCATGACCAAGTGGGATTCATTCCACAGATGCAAGGCTGGTACAATATTCACAAATCAGTAAATGTGATACACCACATTAACAAAATGAAAGATAAAAATCATATATGATCATATCAATAGATGCTAAAAAAGCATTTAACAAAATCCTGGACCCATTTCTGATAAAAAAAAACGCTCAGCAATGTGGGAATAGAGAGATCATATCTCGACATAATAAAGGCTATATATAAAAACCTACAGCCAATATCACCTCAATGGACAAAAACTAAAAGCATTTCCCTCAAAAACAGGAACTAGACAGGGATGCCCATTTTCACCACTCTTATTTAACATAGTACTAGAAGTCTGAGCCACAGCAATCAGACATGAAGAAAAAATATAAGGGATCCAAACTGGAAAGGAGGAAGTGAAACTGTCATTATTTACAGATGACATGATATTATACATAGCAAATCCTAAAGACTCCATAAAAAATATACTAGACTTAATAAATGAATTTGGCAAAGTAGCAAGATACAAAGTTAATGTCAAGAAATTGATGACATTCTTATACACCCATGATGAACTCACAGAAAGAGACACTGCAAAAACAATCTAATTTACCATTGTGGCAAAAAAAAATTAAGATACCTAGGAATAAACTTAACCAAAGAAATAAAGGATCTATTTGTAGAAAACTTTAGGACATTGAAAAAAGAAATAGAGGAAGATATAAAAAAGTGGAAGCATATACCTTGTTCATGGATTGAAAGAATTAACATCATTAAAATGTCCATATTACCCAATGCAATCTATACATTCAATGCAATCCCCATCAAAATACCAATGCCATATTTCACAGAACTAAAACAAGCACTCCAAAAGTTTATATGGAACCAAAAAAGACCCCGAATAGCCACAGCAATCTTAAAAAAGAAGAACAAAGTAGAAGGGATCACATTACCAGATATCAGGTTATACTACAAAGCTACTGTAATCAAAACAGCCTGGTACTGGCACAAAAACAGGCATAGATCAATGGAATAGAATAGAGAACACAGAAATTGACCCAAGATAATATGCTCAATTAATATTTGACAAAGGTGGCAGGAGCATACAGTGGAGTATAGACAGCCTCTTTAATAAATGGTGTTAGGGAAATTGCACAGCTACTTGCAAAAAAATGAAGCTAGAACACCAACTTATACCATACACGAGAATAAACTCAAAATGGATAAAAGACTTAAATTTGATCAGTGAATCCATAAAAATTCTAGAGGAAAATGCAGGTAAGAAAATTTCAGGCATCATACACAACAGATTTTTTACTGATTCAACAATTAAGGTAACAGAAACAAAGGAGATATTGAACACATGGGACTACATCAAACTCAAAAGCTTCTGCACAGCGAAAGATACAACCATCAAAACGGAAAGGCATCAAAATAGGAGAGCATCATTTCCAATGATACATCAGATAAAGGATTAATTTCCAAAATAGATAGCATACTCATACAACTCAATAAAAGGAAGACAAAGAACCCAATTAAAAAATGGGCAGAGGAGCTGAATATACACCTCTCCAAACTGGACATACGAATGGCCAAGAGACATATGAAGAAATGCTCAACATCACTAATCATCAGGGAGATGCAAATTAAAACAACAATGAGGTATCACCTCATACCTGTCAGAATGGTCACCATCAACAACTCATCAAACAAGTGTTGGCAAAGGTGTGGAGAAAAGGGGACTCTAGTACACCGCTGGTGGGAATGCAGACTGGTGCAGCCACTATGGAAAACAATATGGTGTTACCTCAAAAAATTAAAAACTGAACTGCCATTTGACCCAGTGATCTCACTTCTACGAATATACACTAAGAAGCCTGAAATACCAATCAGAAAGAATATATATATATATATATATATATATATATATATATATATATATACCTCCATCTTCATAGTAGCACAATTTGCAATAGCTGAGATCTGGAACAGCCCAAATGTCCTTCACTAGATGAATGGATAAAGAAGTTGTGGAACATAAACACAATGAAGTAATATGCAACTGTAAGAAAGAAAGATCTCTTATCCTTTGAGACGACATGGAGGGACCTGGAAAGTGTTATCTTAAGTGCAACAAGCCAAGCAGAAAAAGACAAATATCACATGATCTCCCTTGTTTGTGGAATTTAATGAACATAACAGTCTGAGGAATAGGGTAGACCCAGAGACCTGTAGGTAGGGTACAGACTAACAACTTTCAGAAGAGGGGGTTGTTGGGGGAGAGAAGAGATAAACCATAGAACTTATATGCACATATGCATAACCAATGGACATGGACAACAACGGGGATGGGGTGGGGGCAATGGGGAGGAGAGTGTCAATGGGGTAAAAAAAAAGAAACATCTGTAAGAAAAATAAATTTAAAAAATAAATTATAATAAAATGAATGGTGCTGGGAAAACTGGACAGGTAGGTGCAAAAAAATAAAACTAGACCACCAACTTACACCAGACACAAGAATAAACTCAAAATAGATAAAATACTTAAAGTCACTAAATCATAAATATCTTAGGCATCTCTTACAGCAATATTTTTGCTGATAATATTACTGAGGGCAAGGGAAACTTAGTTAAAAATAAACAAATGGGAGTACATCAAATTAAAAAGCTTCTACAGAGTGAAAGAAACCATCAACAGAAAGAGAAGAGAAGCCAGTGTATGGGACAAGATATTCACTAATGATATATCTGATAAGGGGTTACTTCCAAAAATATATAAAGAACTTATACAACTCAACAGCAGGAAGACAAACAATCCAATTTAAAAATGAGAAAAAAACCTGAACATACACTTCTGCAAAGAGGACATACAGATGGCCAATAGATATATGAAAAAAATGTGCAAGGTCACTAATCATTGGAGAGATGCAAATAAAACCTACAATAAGGTATCACCTCATACCTTTCAGAATAGCTACTATTAATAAATCAACAAGTGCTGAGAAGGATGTAGAGGAAAAGGATCCCTAGTGCACTGTTGGTAGGTATGCGGACTGGTAAAGCCACTATGGAAAACGGTATGGAGATTTCTCAAAAATTAAAAATGGAACTGCCATTTGACTCAGTGATCCCTCTTCTAGAAATATAAGAATCCCAAAACACCAATCAGAAAGAATATATGCACCCCTATGTTCCTAGCAGTGTTATTTACATTAGCCAAGATCAGGAAAGAGCCCTAGTGCCATTTACAGATAAATGAATAAAAAGCTGTAAAAGAGAAGAAACTCTTACCATTTGTGGCAGCATGGATGGACCTAGAAAATATTATGCTAAGCAAAATAAGCCAGTTAGAAAAAGACAAATACCATATGATCTCACTTAGATGTGGAATCTAATGAACAAAATAAACTGATAAACAAAAAGAACAAAAAGCATGGATACATGGAACAGACTGACAAATATCAGAGGGGAGGGGTTTGGGGTAGGTTGGATAAAGAAGGTGAAGAGATTAGCTAAAGAACATACCATATATGCATAGTTCATGGACATAGACAATAGTGTGGTGAAGGCCAAGGGAGGGGGCTATAGGGCTGGGTGGAGGTAGGCAAAGATGGGGAAAATTGAAGACATCTACAATAGTGTCAGCAATATACAATTTACATTTAAGAAAAAACAGAGGCTGAATGTCCAGATGATCATCCTGTATGTATTGTGGATCACTTCTAGCTATGTTTCATCTATATCAATGTTATGAAATGTTTATAATTCATTCATCCAGCAAATACAACCTTCAGACTCGTAGTGGCAGTATGAGACTCTGCTGGAGATTCTAGGGATGCAGCAGTGAGATACAGTGAGAGCCAGATCAGCACAGCTGTTTATGTTTTGGGTTGAGGTTATAGATAAGAAGAACACAGATGTAACAAAAGTGCTGGAACAAGGAAGAAAAAATTAATGACCTTAATTTGTATCCTTCAGTTAGGCATGACTCCTGAAGTCACAATATTCTCATACCTTCCAAATGACAGTTTTCTTCCCCACGTTGGCCTCCTGAGTCAAGGCCTCCTCCATCTCTTTCCTCACAAGTTCCAAGGCCATCTGGAGCTCTGCCTGTTTGGGAAGATATGCTGAGACCATTACAGATGTCCTCCTGCAGTACCTATCTTGACTATATGTGTCAGGCACTACAAAGATCATCTAAAACAGGCCCCCATGAGCATACAAACATGTCCAACGTCATTATAACTAAGTTAAACATAAACACACTTTAAGTGTTAAAGCGAGACATAATCAAAGATTTACCTAAAAGTATGTTCATCATGGCATTATTTAAAATAGTAAAACTACAATTAACCAAAATGTTAAAAGCAGGGGGTAAGAAAAATATTTTACATTAACAGGATAAAATTAAAATAAGATGTTTAATAACAAGAATATGGTGTTTAATAACAAAAAATGCTCATTGTTATAAAGTCAATTAAAATAAATATATTTTATGTGATGAGATACCAATTTCACAAAATGTGCTTTAAGGAATATATAAAAATTAGGCAGAGATCAGTGAAAACATTCAATAGATAAAACCTCACCCTTTAGTGTTATTTCTACATCTGTACATGTTAACTTCTGAAAATTATTCATTATAATCAGGAAAGTGTTTATTATTATTAGGCAACAAGAAACCATGTAAGTTAGTATTTATTCAATGAAAAAGAAATTGAGAATGTTGTAAATCTTACAAGGAGTAAAAATAAAGTTAATGAAAATTAAATCTCCTTCCAACCCTAGTCCTTTGCTAGAGGTAAACACATATTTATTTACATAGAACACACACAAAGATATTCATACACTCACATTTTTAAAACTCTACCCAGTCCTTCAATAAGTCTCAGAAGAAAAATAGGGTGTGGGGGTGGGGCGGAGTACTCTTGCCAAAGTGATTTACAATAAATTATTTCTAAAACTAATTAAATGATGATAATAATAATACAATGCTGATAAAACACAGTAGAATTAATGGAGGATTTAACATAACAAATGGCATTTTAGTGTTTTAGTGTTTAAAAGAAACAGAAACACATAGATGGAGAAAAGCTCCCTCCCATATGAGAAATTGTGAACAAAAGCAAGGAGGTGACAACAGTAAATAGGCTAGTGTTGCTATATCTGGGCTGGTTGAGACAACAGTAGAAACAGAACATAGAGTCATAGCAAATTGAGACTGACAGACTAAGAAGTTCAGAAGATATTTATTTGATATTTAATTGAAATATTATTAAAATATAGAAAACTTCTCTAGAAATTTTACACTAGTCATGCTCTGCAGGGTACTTTTTAGATGAAAAGGCAGAACCCTCTACAAAAGCTATCTAGAAAATAGCTAGCTTCTGAGTTTTGTAGATGGCAACCAAAACCAAAAAGAAAATTCAGAGAGATATTTCTAAGTAAGTTCAGAGGAAATTTGAAGAGGTAAATAAATACCCCAAATCTTGATATAAAACAAAGTTTTAAAAATAAAAAAATAAATTCATGATTTAATTTACTTCACTGTGATGATATTTCAGATAAAGATGTCAATACATTAAATAAGACTTTGACCTTGTTTGTGCTGGTAGCTGTTCCAGATGTCAAGAATTTAACTGTGTTCAGAATATGTCCAAGAACTTTTAAAGAGCACCAGGAAGGATAATTCTATAGAGTTTCACAGATGTTTATTGGGGTGGGGGGGGGCACATACTCCTAGGAAACACTTCTTCATTAAGGTGCTCACATCCTAAGTCCCCAAATATGAGTTGAATAAAGACCTAGCCTGTGTCCTTAGCTCCTGGACTCCTACTTCAGAGCCCTGTGCCCACTCCAGCACTATTCTTAACTAGTGCTCAAACCCAAAGATTGTTTTGGTAACAGTGTTAATTAAGGTACAGATAAACACTATATAAAAGAAAAACATTATGCCAATGGTAGTTTTTAGAAAGATGCACACCTGTAACCAAACACCAAGTGGACAACACAGCCCTCCACACCAGAGTTCTAGCTGTAGGGCCCAGATCATCAGCAAAGGAAAAGGAGACTAGAAGGAAAGCACAGAACCCCAGAAAGCTATGTGTGAAAGAGAAACCCTCTAAAGTAATGTGTGTCTGAGCCCTTTAACGGGTGTCGCAGAAGGAATTACCACAGAGCAAAGGCTGGGACCCACTTCCCTACCTGAGAGCGTGCTTGAGAAGGCCTCCCTACCTGAGAGCGTGCTTGAGAAGGCCAGGGGCATGCACAGGTTAGGGAGAGGAGGGAGGGGAGCTCAGGGTCCCAGTGTCAGGGACACGCATAGGTGGCAAGGAGTGCAAGGAGGTGGGGTAGAGGGGAAGCTGGGACAGAGGCGAAGTCCTTGGAATCAGGTGGGGGCACCAGGCCAAGTCTCCGAGCAGGTCACAGGACACCGCTGCAGGGCCTGCTTCAGTCGGAAGGCCCTTTGATGCCCACGAGAACCGCTCACCTGGTGTCGCTGGGCAGCCTCCTGCAGGGGCGCTGTGCGGTGGCCCCTGTGCTCAGGGCCAGAGTCGCAGGCCCAGCACAGCGCCTTCTGGTCCTCCTCGCAGAATCTGCTGAGCTCATGGCCGTGCTGCGGGCATTGCATCCCCAAGGGCCCGGCGACCCGCCCCAGCTGCCGCAAGCCATCCACCAGGTTGGCCAACTGCCGGTTGGGACGGAAACCCTCCCTCTTGAAGGGGCCACGGCACTGCGGGCAGGCAAAGAGGCCGCCCTGCTCTCTGTCTGATTTGTCGCAGAACTCAGAAATACAGCGCAGACAGAAGCTGTGGCCACAGTCTACGCTGACTGGATCCTGTAGGAAGTCCAGGCACACGGGGCACCGCGCCTCCTCGCACAGCCGCTGCCCAGGTGACCCCATGGCCAGTTTGTCCCCTTCCCCCCGGGGACAGTGCTATCTCTCTTCTGTCTGCACACTCGGTGGGGGTTGGGGGGCTGCCACCTACTGCCTGCACTATCTCAGTCCTGCTGCACACTCGGGAGGGGCCCTGACTGATGCTGAGTGGGCACAGCACAGGTTTTATCTGCAGGATTGGGTTCAGGAGGCCGGAGGAGCCACTCCCTGTGAAAAGTGACAATGCACAGGCCCTGGGCCACCAGGGTAAATTAACACCCGAGACCTCCTAATAACTAAACTTTTCTAACTGAAGCCCCTCACTGTGTGCCTTACTCTGTTCCTGTTTTCAGCACTGGTAAATGTGGAGAAGGGCTGAGCTCCATTTTTTTACTGTGTTCTACACTACTCAATGGTCTCCTCATCTTTATATGCATAATGGTTTCTTTTTTTTTTTTTTATTAATTAATTTTTGTTACAGATGTTTCTCCTTTTCCCCCGCACTGATTCCCCCCTCCCTGCCCTTTCCCCAGCTTTGTTGTCCATGTCCCTTGTTTATGCATACAAGCATATAAGTTCTGTGGTTTATCTCTCCTCCACCACCCCGTCTTCTGGGGATTGTCAGTCTGTACCCCACTTCCACGTCTCTGGGACTACCCCATTCCTCAGACTGTTATGTTCATTATATTCCACAAATAAGTGAGATCATATGATACTTGTCCTTCTCTGTTTGGCATGCGTCACTCAGGATGATACTCTCCAGGTCCCTCCATGTAGTCTCAAAGGACAAGAGATCTTTCTTTCTTACAGCTGCATAGTACTCCGTTGTGTATATGTACCACTGTTTTTTTTATCCATACGTCTACTGATGGACACTTGGACTGTTTCCAGATTTTAGCTATTGTAAATAGTGCTGCTAAAAAACACAGGGGTACATATATTCTTTCTGATTGGTGTTTCAGGCTTCTTAGGGTATATTCCTAGAAGTGGAATCACTGGGTCAAATGGAAGTTCAATTTTTTATTTTTTGAGGTAACACCATATTGTTTTCCATACTGGCTGCACCAGTCTGCATTCCCACCAGCAGTGCACTAGAATCCCCTTTTCTCCACACCCTTGCCAACACTTGTTGTTTGATGATTTGTTGATGGCGGCCATTCTGACAGGTGTGAGGTGATACCTCATTGTTGTTTTAATTTGCATCTCTCTGATAAATAGTGAAGATGAGCATTTCTTCATATGTTTCTTAGCCATTTGTATGTACTGTTTGGAGAGGTGTCTATTTAGTTCCTCTGCCCATTTTTTAATTCAGTTCTTTGTCTTCCTTTTCTGGAGTTGCATGAGCACTCTATATGTATTGGAAATTAACCCCTAATCTGATATATCATTGGCAATTATGCTCTTCCATACAGTGGGTAGCCTTTCTGTTTTGATGACTGTATCTTTCGCTGTGCAAAAGCTATTGAGTTTGATGTAGTCCCATGTGTTCATTTTCTCTTTTGTTTCCATTGCCTTAGGTGATGTGTCAGTGAAAATTTTGCTGCGTATGATGTCTGAAATTTTGTTGCCTACAGTTTCTTCTAGGGTTTTTATAGATTCATGAGTCACATTTAAGCCATTTGTCCATTTTGAGTTTATTCTTGTGTAGGGTGTAAGTTGATGGTCTAGTTTCATTTTTCTGCAAGTAGCTGTCTAATTTTCCCAACACCATTTATTAAAGAGGCTGTCCTTACTCCATTGTATGCTCTTGCCACCTTTGTTAAATATTAATTGAGCATATGGCCTTGGGTCCATTTCTGGGTTCTCTGTTCTGTTCCACTGGTCTATATGCCTGTTCTTGTGCCAGTACCAGGCTGTTTTGATTATAGTGGCTTTGTAGTACAACCTGAAATCTGGTAATGTCATCCCTCCAACTTTGTTCTTCCTTTTCAAGATTGCTGTGGCTATTCGAGGCCTTTTTTGGTTCCATATAAACTTTTGAAATAATTGCTCTAATTCTGTGAAGTATGCCGTTGGTATTTTGATGGGGATTGCGTTGAATCTATAGATTGCTTTGGCTAATATGGACATTTTAGTGATGTCAATTCTCCCAATCGATGAACAGGGTATGTGCTTCCACTTTTTTAGATCTTCCTCTATTTCTTTTTTCAATAACCTGTAGTTTTAGGTGAATAGGTCCTTTATTTCTTTGGTTAAGTTTATTTCTAGGTATCTTAATTTTTTTTGCCGCAATGGTAAATGGTATTGTTTACTTAGTTTATCTTTCTGTGCGGTCATCATTGGTGTATAAAAATGCCATCGATTTCTTGACATTAATTTTGTATCCTGCTACTTTGCCAAATTTATTTATTAAGTCTAGTAAACTTTTGATGGAGTCGTTGCAATTTTCTATGTATAGTATCATGTCATCTGCAAATAATGACAATTTCCCTTCCTCCTTTCCCATTTGGATCCCTTTTATTTTTTCTTCCTGTCTGATTGCTGTGGCTAAGACTTCCAGTACTATGTTAAATAAGAGTGGCGAAAGTGGGCATCCTTGCCTTCTTCCGGTTCTTAAGGGAAATGCTTTTAGTTTTTGGCCATTGAGTATGATGTTGGCTGTAGGTCTTTCATATATGGCCTTTATTATGTCTAGATATGATCCCTCTATTCCCACACTGCTGTACGTTTTTATCAGAAATGGATGCTGGATTTTGTCGAAGGCTTTTTGGCATCTATTGATATGATCATGTGTTTTTATTCTCCATTCTATGTATGTTGTGTATCACATTTATTGATTTGCCAATATAGTACCAGCCTTGCATCCCTAGGATGAATCCCACTAGGTCATGGTGGATAATTTTTTTGGAGTATTGCTGAATCCGATTTGCTAGTATTTTGTTCAGGATTTTGGCATCTATGTTCATCAGGGATATTGGCCTGTAGTTTTCTTTCTTTCTTGTGTCTTTTTCTGGTTTTGGAATTAGAATTATGCTGGCTTTATAAAACAAGTTTGGAAGTCTTCCTTCTTCTTGAAATTTTTGAAATAGTTTGAGGAGAATAGGTATTAGTTCGTCTTTGAATGTTCGGTAAAACTCCCCCGTGAAGCCATCTGGGCCTGGGCTTTTGTTTGCTGGGAGACTCTTGATTACATCTTCAATTTCTTTTGTTGTTATTGGTCTGTTCAAGTTTTCTATCTCTTCCTGATCCAGTTTTGGGAGACTATGTGTTTCTAGAAATTTGTCAATTTCGCTTAGATTGTCGAATTTGTTGCCATATAATTGTTCATAGTAATTGTTAACGATCTTTTGTATTTCTGTGGTGTCAGTTGTTACCTCTCCGCTTTCATTTCTGATTTTGAGTATTTGGGTTCTCTCTCTTTGTTTCTTGGTGAGTCTAGCTAAGGGTCCATCAATCTTGTTTATCTTTTCGAAAAACCAGCTCTTTTTTAATTGATTCTTTGAATTGTTTTTTTGGTCTATATGTCATTTATTTCTGCTCTGATCTTTACTATTTCCTTTCTTCTGCTTGCTCTGGGGTTTTCTTTTTGTTTGTTCTCTAGTTCTTTAAGTTGTGAGGTTAGATAATCTATTAGAGATTTTTCTTGTTTTGTGAGGTAGGCCTGAAGTGCTATGAACTTCCCTCTCAGAATTGCTTTCGCTGTATTCCATAGATTTTGTGTGTTTGTGTCTTCATTTTCATTGGTTTTCATGAAGTTTTTTATTTTTCCTTGATCTCCTCCATGACCCATTCATTGTTTAATGACATGCTATTTAGCTTCCATGTGTTCAAATGTCTTTGGATGTTCTTGATTTGCAATTGATTTCCAGTTTCATGCCATTGTGATCTGAGAAGGTGCTTGATGATATGATTTCAGTCTTCTTGAACTTGTAGAGACTTAGTTTGTGCCCTAACATGGGGTCTATCTTTGAGAATGTCCCATGTGCTCTTGAGAGGAATGTGAATTCTGTAGTTTTGGGGTGTAATTCTCTGTAGATATCTATTAAATCCATTTGGTCTAGTGCTTCATGTAGAGTCCCTGTTTCCTTGCTAATTTTTTGTCTAGAGGATCTCTCCAGTGATGTCAGCGGGGCATTGAAGTCTCCTGCTATGATTGTATTGCTATCGATTTCTCCTTTGAAGTCCTCCAGAAGATTTTTTATATATTTTGGTGCTCTATATTGGGAGCATATATATTTATCAAGGTTATACCTTCCTGTTGGATAGAACCTTTAAATATTATGTAGTGGCCTTCCTTGTCTCTAGTAATAGCCTTCATTTTGAAGTCTATTTTATCAGATATGAGTATTGCTACCACAGCTTTTTTTTTTCTTTCCGTTTGCTTGGAAGATTTTTTCCCATCCCTTCACTTTCAATCTATGTGTGTTTTTTGTTGTGAGGTGGGTCTCTTGCAAACAACATATAGATAAGTCATGCTTTCTTATCCAATCAGCTACTCTGTGTCTTTTTATGGGAGCATTCAATCCATTTACATTTAAGGTGATTATTGATATGTTCTTATTATTGCCATTTTTGTTTAGTGTGGCTCTATTTTTCTTCACGTTTCTCCTGCTAATTACAGCAGTCTTTTTAACATTTCTTGCAGTGCTGGTTTGGTACTAATGTATTCCCTTAGTCTTTTTTTTTTTTTTTTTTTTTTTTTTTTTGAAGCTCTTTATTTGACCTTCTGTTTTGAATGATAGCCTTGCTGGGTATAGTAGTTTGGATTCAGATCCTTGTTTTTCACGACCTGGATTACTTCATGCCATTCACTTCTAGCCTGTAGTGTTTCTTGTGAGAAGTCAGCTGAGACCCTTATGGGGTTTCCTTTGTAGGTAACCTGTTGCTTATCTCTTGCTGCTTTTAGGATTCTCTCTTTGTCCTAAATTTTTGGCAGTTTGATTACTATGTGTTCTGGTGTGGGCCTGTCTGGGTTCTTCTTACTTGGGGCTCTCTGTTCTTCTTGAACTTGAATGCCTTCCTCCTTTATCTAATTAGGGAAGTTTTTTGTCACTATTTCTTTGAATATATTCTCTAATCTTTGCTCATTTTCTTCTTCTTTAGGGACTTCTATGATGTGAATATTATTCTGTTTCCTGTTGTCCCCTTGTTCTCTTAAGCTGTTTTCCTTCTTATTAATCATTTTTTTCTTTTGT